CATGCTTGTAGTCAGCGAGGCTTAATTGTTACGAAATGGTGCGGCACTGAGTAAATAGGCACCCGTCCGAAGGCAGTGTAAACCACGTCGAGTTCTCCGGTTGTAATCTGACCGGTGTTGTATGGTTGTGGCGTGACGGCTGTATACAGTAGGGCACCGGTGGTGCTATAGTCTAGAAACTAAGAAAGGACGCTCAATTCGGATATATATAGTACGGTGTCCAAGCAGATAGTCCTGTGTCAGTGACTTGGAGCGAGGCCGTATGGGTTCAACAGAGGCCAACATGTACATACTACATTTGTGCTGCATGTGTTGATAATAGGCTAGTATGTTATTTCGGGGTATTATGGGGAAGTATATAGGTCAAATTTGATAGAAATATCCATAATACATGTACATATTGTTTTCTCTGCAGAAGCTATATTTTAGTAACTTTTGATCTCTCCATAACTTAATATTATCTAGCATAAAATCATAAAGACCGCTGTAATATATTGCAAAACTACAAGTCTTTCAGTAGCAAGGTGTCCTCCGTATAATCGGCATGTTTGAAATAACAGGTAGCGTTGTTTTTTTGTTTTTGTTTTTGTTTTTTTTTTATTCAGAAGCTCAATGAGAATTACAAATGAAAATACATGGACTAAGTGACTGCGAACTCAAGTTAGGTACAACTTATATTCTCGCAGCCACTTTTACAATGAAAGAAAAATATTTTACAAGACATTTAAAAATACATGAGACCTCGCGTGAGTAACAATCCTCCCATCCCAGAAAACACATACAGTTAGAATCTTTTTGTTTCTAATATATAATTTTGTACGGCTAACATTATTTTGCAGTTGGTGTCATACGAACAAAGGAAACTACCGCGAAGAACTAAATATTGTATGGAATTATCAGAAAGAGTGTTTAAATCAACAATATTACCAAGTATGCTTGAAAGCTTGCCAAAAAGGACTAAGCGCTGGTAGGTGTATATAGGGCAGTGCAATAAATAATGAGCAATCGTTTCATATGGACACCCGCAGCT